ATATTGAATATGATTGAACTGAACCTGAACCTGAACTTGACCAAAGTTCGGTTTCAGTTCGGTTCATAGGAACACTATTCTGTTGCTTCTGAAGTGGTAAGATTTTAATATAACCTATTTTTTTTTAGTTTAGCCAACTTTTAGCATCACTATATTATTCATTTAGGTGTTTAGTGTAGCTGGAAGGATTATCGGTCCAATCTTACTCCAGAAACTATTGAGGCATTAATATGTAGTCAAGACTGGATAAATTGTGCAAGAAAAGAAGGTTGGGATAAATTAGAAGATGATAGACTTCATGCTTAAAGCTGTGTTTTTTTTATGTAAGGACTTTTTTTATATTAAAAGCAAATGTTTGTTATATTTAATTAATTTACTGTATTTGTTTACAGATTTGTATAACATGATGGCTAATATACTAAAGACTATGAAGATAGATTCCCGGTATGGCTTGAATATTGTTATAATATATAATACAGATCGAAAAAATAAAGAATTTACCTTTAATTGTGTAAAGTTAATATAAAGTTATAATTAGTTACGTATTGGTTCATTATTAGGTCATTAGTTACGTATTGAGCAAAAATAATTCATTATTAGGTCATAGTTTATTCATAATTTGAAAAAATAAAATTGTGCCGTTTTTACCTACTTGAAACATTACATAATTATGATACTATTATGATATTAATAATGAAGTTCCTATTTAATTTAAATTTATACTAAGTATAATATGAAAATGATTCTTTTTAGCGAAATTCATTATTTTGATTGGTTGATTTGTATGTATATTCAACCAATATTCGTGTAACTATTTTCCATATTTGGGACATTCTTACCTGCAGTAATCTTTGGGCCAGGTCGGACCCGGGCCTAATATAAAAAGAAGGCCCGGCTTGGGCCTATATTGGGCTTAAAATTTTTTTTCCAGGTATGTTTTGGGTCTGAGAAAGCCTAGCCCAACTCGGCCCATTCCATACCCTAGCACTGATTGTATTAACAACAGAAAATAACAACATTATAAATAACACAGAAGAAGAACCATACAACAACTTCTGCAAATGGAATCTAGAAGAACAAGAATTAATTCCTCATTATTCAGAAAACAAAGAGAAATTAGTTAAAGAGGCATTAATTCAAAATGAGTGTAGCATGCTCAATTATGGTCTTATAGAGCATCTTGAAGAAGTACTACAGGAGAAGGTAAAAGCCCACATACACAAAAGCAGTAAAAAGCACAAGCATTATGAGGATATATACAACTCGGCCTGGGCCCTGAAGAATAAAACCTCTCCTTAAAAACAAATGCACAACCCAATATATAATTTCACAATCTGGGACCTACCTAAAGAAATGGGTGTATCAGTAATAAAGTTATATTTTGGTTATTTTGGTACAGCAAAGCTGGTATCATAGCAACAAAATTTTAAAACCAAGGCAGCCTACATTAGAATCATGCCAAGTTCCAAACAAAAAGAAAAATCTTTAAAAGAAAGTTGGTCCATCTATTTGGAATATAGCAAAACATATCGCATTACACCTGGCAAATTTGACATTTCTGAATTAGAAAAAAGGAACTATTACAAAAGTGTAATTTCTAATTTACCAATATCTGCTTATAACAGTTTTCTCTTATGCCAATTGAAGAAGTATAAAGTGCAGGCAGTATATATACTAAGCAATCGTAATGAAAATCAAAAAAAAGTGGCTCACTTGTATTTTAAATTAGAGGAGGATCTTATATTAGCTCAGAATTGCAAGCTCTATTACTTTAATGCCAAGCTCAACTGGCACCCATCCATTGAAATCTCAAATAGAAGAAAATTATATAACAATTTTTAGTATGGGAAAACAAATAAAGATATAGAGAAAGGAAAAAGATCAGTAGTTGAACCTGAAATACCAAAAGAAAGGTCCTCTATCAAATGGTTATCTACCAAACAGAGCATTAGAGCAAAAAGGTACATATATGACTCTTCAGATAGTAAAGAAAATAAAAAAAATACCAAAAGCCTCAGAGCTGGCAACAATACCAGAAAACCTCTCAGAAGTATAGAAAATAAATGTGCAATCGGTTCAAACAAAATAGTACTAATGGAAAAAAAAAGAAACAAGAAAAACAAGAGGGTAAATTAGACCAAGCCAAAAATATTTGGGGACTTGTTGATGAAATGAAGAAGAGATTTACAGAGCTGGAGTCACAGATCACCCAGCGCTCCTAAAAGTTGCCACAGTTGAATTACAGATAAAAGGGTTGAGAGATACCCTAAGGCCAGAAAGTTTAGGCCAAATCAACGAAAAGAAGGAAAATTTCGAACAATTAAAATTAGATTTTCATAATATAAATGGTCTCAAAAGAAATAGATCGAAATTGCAAGAGCTTTTAGATTTTAGTATAGAAGAAAATTTGAACATTATAAGGTTAACAGAAACAAACATTAGTGCAAGGGATGGGGTCTTCTTAGAAGTAGAATGGTGGCAATTCAGGGCCTTCTGGACTAAAGATAATATAGAAAAGAAAAAAAAGTTCAGGTGTAGATATTATAATAGGAAAAAAATGGCAAACACACCTAACTGAAATAGTGTGCAAAAATACATATACGTTAAAAGCAGTCTTTAGATTTAAAAAAACAATATTAGTTATCTGGGTAGTATATTTTCCCCCAAATGACAAAAATATACAAAAAAAGATACAGCAATTTTTGATAGAAGACATTACTAAAAGCAGCTCAAATACAAGAATATTAATAGGAGAAGACTTTAATGCTGAACTAGACCCTCATACTACTCCTAGCCAATATACTAATGATGAGACCTCAGAACACAAACACAGTAAACTGCTCTTATTAAATTGGCTTTAAAGAGTAGGCTACGCAGAATTCTACCTATTAATCAACCCTCTAACCTTTAAGGCAACCTGGTCTAATAACAATTATTACTTGAAAATAGACCATATATGGCTAGATCCAACAATTAACGAGCTTATAATAGATAGTGATATCGAAGATATGGATCTGGTGACAGGTAGTGATCACAATCTAATATGGGCAAAGGTACTATTAAGCCCAATACTTCATGCTAATTCAGTTGCCGAACAACGTAAAAAATATTCTGGATAGTGTAAAATATATCTCTATGACAAAATGTCTAATAAAGATTAGGAAAAGTTTACATCCCTCTTAGAAAAATATTTAAATGAGGAACAAAACAAAGTCAAAAGAAAAAAAGTTGAAACTCACCTCTTAGCATTAGAATATCTAATAAACAAAGGTTGGAAAAAGCTAGCTAATTGTATAACAATAGCAGCCAATAAAATGGTCCCCTTCAAGAAAATTAATAATATACTAGAAGAGCATGGTGAACATTTGATTTGATTAGTTAAAAAATGTAAACAAATAAACAATATGCATAATGTAAATCATTATATAAATCTAAATATATCTGCTTAATTAGAGTTTTACTGTTACCAACACTAGTGTAATCACTAAAGATTTTGGCTTTTGTTTTTTTGACATTATTGCTTACAGTTGTCTTAGTGCCATCTTTGAAAATTTTGGATTTTCGCCGTTGAAAATTTTAAGTTTAGTCATTATAACTAGAAGTAGCACAGTAATTAGATTTAGGAAGGTAGTTAGATTTAGATTGTTAGAATAGAAGTAGTATAGTAGTTAGATCAGAATATTAGAACTAATATAGTATGGTAGTTAGATTTGAATATTAAATTGTATGTAGCATAATAGTTAGATTTTGGGATGCAGCATAGTAGTAGCATGATAGTTAGATTTGGCATATTAGAACTAGATGTAGTGTGATAATTAAATTCAGAATATTAGAAGCATGGTAGCTAGATTTGAAACATTAGAACTAGAAGTAGTTTGGGATGTTATAGCTAATATAGTATAGTGGTTAAATTTGGGTGTTAGAATTATATAGTATGAGATTTTGAATGCAGTATGGCAATGGATTCTAGTTAGATTTAGTAGCAATTATTTGTATTTTTTTTTTTTTGAATAATAAAAATTGGGTTTTCTGTATTTTATTTTTTAAAAAAAATTTTTTTAATCAAATATTGTACAAGTAAAAAAAAAAAAAAAACAATCATATTCGAAATTGTTATACATAACAATTTGCATAACAAATTCAAAGTAATCACCATCTAAAATTAACTATCTAATTCTAATTCTAGCTCTAACTCTAACGTATTAAACTAACCCTAATACTAACGAACTAAACTAACCCTAACTCTAATGAACTAAACTAACTCTAGCCCAATACCAATTCTATCTAACTTAACACTAATCCTAAAACTATAACTACATGATGTATATAAAGCATCAGAAAGGGTGTAATCACATTACCCACAGCATTTCAGCAACTACAGAGCACAATAATAATCCAAATACCAATATAAAATAAGCAATAAATCTGTTTAATTATAAGTAAATCAAATATTACTTACCATCTAGAACTTCAACATATTTAATATGTTGATTAGATTAAACACAGGTTGAATTTCTTTCTGTTATTTTTTTCATGTGTTATAATGTAATTAATATTTAAATTAAAAACTTAGCGAGTGAATTATTGGGAAAATTTGTAAATACAACAATTTGGCTTAACCGGACAAATAATTGTCTGACATGTGCTGCTTCGCGGCTCGTGTCAGCCAATCATTTGCCCGGTTGAACCAAATTGCCATATTCACAAATTTTTGCCCAATAATGTATACCTATTGGCTTTATAAATGTCCAATGTTCTGCTAATATCTCACGAAACCTTATTAAAATTTTAAAGTTCGATCTGTAAAATATATACATATAAATATATAAACTACAGGTTGAATTCAATTTGAAAAAGTAAATATCATTACCTGCATTTACTATATTGACAGATTTAAAAAAATTTTACAATTAATAATATATTACTAACTTTTTAGAAAATAAGTGTTATTACCTGGTTTAGAAAGTTTTGAAATATTCAAAAATCAACTTGTATAATCTATCTGAATTACCATTGTCACGGAGTTACCCAAACTATCGTGTATTCGTGGGTCCTTACTATCAGTTTTCACTTGCTTGGCAAATATACGATGACTGGAGTATTGTACCAGATACTACCACTGATAATGTATCTACACAGATAACAGTTTATTCACTAAGAATAACTCAAAGAGATTGCGAGAATGAAAGTTATGCGAAAACTCACGAATACACGGTAGTTTGGGTAACTCTGTAACATAAAAGACCTGGGTAGACAAAAGTACCCTTGCAACGAATAAGTAAAAAACACTTTAAGTACATGAATACGTTACCTGCACATATTCAAAGATGAAGCTCTTTTATGTAGGTGGTAATACAATAGTGATGGTAAACCTTCTTTGGGAGTATAAAGCATATACCAAAATTAGAGAATGGGACGATGAAACAAAATCTGCATGTGTTGTATTATATGTGGCGAAAAGTGAAATAGCATGAGTAAAACAGGCATGCAAAAGCACGAAGGCATGGATTGAGTTGCGGCAAAAGTTATTTGATATGGTGAGTTGGATAGAATATAAGGATTGTGAATTGAAAGGCGTGGAACAGGTTGATGGTAATGAAATAAATGAAAAGGAGGTGAATATGATTAGCAAAACGAATAAGAAAATAAAACAGATGAATTAAAACTTAAAAATATACCTGATTCAAATGAGTATCTGGAATTCGCTTATTACCAAGAATCTGCAGAGATGGATAGTGTTGCTGGAATTGGACGATGTTACCAAAATAGAATAGGCATCGAGAATGATGAGCAAAAGTCTAAGGTTTCTGTTCATAATCTTTTTGAATGGTATTTGAATGTTGAAGAAGATAAAAATGAAATTGACGTCGAAGATGAACCTAAGGCATTTAGCTATTATCAAAAAGTTAATATTGGTAGCGTTGATAAATTGGAGTAAAAACAAATAAACATAAGGCATTTGTTGATCATCAAAGATCAGCTTACCATGAGTATGATGAAATCGACATCAAAAGGAATAAACATAAGACGTCCATCAATTATCAAAGCCCAAAGAGATGGAAAATGTAAGTAGAACGAATAACCTTGGGCCCAGTAACCAAAAGGTAACCAGAGTTAGCAACAATGAAAATGATACATTTGCATCATGTAAACGAGAAGACATTCATCGCTAGAAAAATAGATTTCAAAAGCCACCTACTGATTTAAATAAATCAATAGAAACTAATTCTATTTGAATACTACACCCAATACTTCTGAAGTATAAACCAAAATCAATAATGTAAGAAAAAAAACATATTTTGATTAACTATATTGCCAGAATGAAAATCTTTATAGGCTTTGTAAATTGTATTAAGCCTATTAGCTATGTAATATAAGGTTGCTACTTTAGAAGCCCAATCTAATTTACCTTAACTATCTAACAATTTTTTGAGACTTCCCTGCTTTGCGTACTTCATAACCATCCTGTAGCTACTATCTTTTGGGCTCTTGGTTATTCTATAAATCGCAATTGCAAAATCGCCCTCATACTTATATTGATTTTTAATCTAAAATATTAATTAGAATAAATAAGATTATTAGACTTTAATAATAACTTATTTTAAACAAGCATATTTGTCCTACATTCTTTTGATTGCTGAATAAAACACAGATGTTCTGTTGAATTGTTGACCAATGAATGAGCTTTATTCAACTTATCAGTAAACTTTTTTTTTTATTATTTGCTATAAACAAAAAAGCATAGTGTTTTGTAGGTAAAGTATTACCATGTCGTTAGTTGCTTGGGTCAATGTAAAGGAAATTGAGTTTAGAAGCAAAAAAAGTTTAATACCGTACCTAATTAACTTATTCGTTATGCCGTAATACCATATTACCTGTCTAAATTTGCCTTCTAAATAAAGTTTTTAGGGATAATAATCTATACTGATCTTTTTTTCCAGAAGACATACAAAGAGTTAAAGAACACTATAATATGTTCTTAAAAAAAATTTATTATACAAAACCGAGAGTTTCTAATTGACGATATAACTTTTCATAATAAGGGTTACTTTAAAATTTTTTTTTATATTGTGTAACCCAGTGATCTTCAAGCCAATCAAATCGAATGTCCACTATGCTTACTAGAAGAAAGGCAAAAGCAGATTATCTGAAACCCAAAATATAAATAGATTAAGCAACTTAGAAGTATAAGGAGAAAGAGGTCCAAAAACCTAAATGGTAAAATTGAACTAGAAGATCAATATTCGATAAATATCCAGATAAATCAAGTAAACCTTAATAATGAAACAGAAATTAAAGAGGTTGAAGATTGCTGGTTGGAGCAATGGATAAAAGACCTCAAAGAGTGGATAAAAGTAATCGAAAAGAAAATAATTTTAGAGCAAAGAACAGAGCAAGATAAAAAGATAAGAGAAAATATAGAAAGAAGATTTGGAATAGTTAGCCAGTATGAGAAGAAAATGCTAAATAGCAGACCATGGAATAAATTAAAAATAGAAAGAATCCTAGTCGCAACAGACCAGAGAAATAGGAAGAAAGAGCTAGTTTATGAACCCAAAGAAGTCAAACAAGCCGTAGATAAGCACTTTTCAAAACAGTTTGAAGAGGTTGACAATGAATCAAATGAAGAAAAAGAAGAGTGGCAATCAGAATATGAATCCTTAAGCTATATTAACCAAGAGTGGTATAATAGCTTGTCCAATGAAATCAAGAAAAGGGAATAGAAAGAAATGCTTCAGAAAACTTCAAACAACTCAGCTCCAGGGTTGTCAAACATCGGGTATACAATTCTAAAAAGACTAGAAAAAAAAGCAACAAAGATTCTTTTAGAACTTTTAAACCTAATTTTAGAGGAGGGAATAATGCCAAGAAAATGAAAAATCAGTATGATTTTCTCAATACCAAAACTGGCAGAATGGGACTTACAATTAGAAAACGTCAGACCTATAATGCTTCTTGAAGCAACAAGAAAAGGCTTAATTAGAATTATTCAGAGGAGATTAAGTGACCGAATAATCACCCACAAGATTCTAAGAGGTCCCAACTTTGCAAGTTTACTAGGAGAATGCACCCAAGAACCAATCCATATAATGAACTCTCTAATTGAGTTAGCAAAACAAGATAATAAAGAAATGTGGATAACTCTCATTGATATCAGAAAAGCTTTTGATACAGTCGACCTTAAAAGGCTGCAACTAGCATTAAAGCGCATTAAAGTTCCAGAAAAGTTAGAAAAGTTCTTAATTAATCTATTCTTAAATTGAGAAATTAAAGTATTTACCAAATTTGGAATAACTGAAGGTTTTCGTACAAAAAGATGAATAGACCAAGGCAAGGTGATCTCTCCTCTCCTATGGAGAATTTACTTTGACCCTCTGCTATGCAAACTGCAAAAATGTAACAATGGGGCAGAAGCCAAAATTGAATGGCCTATAGATTTGACATGAGGAAATACAAGAAAAAAAAATCTGCAAGTTGCAGGGCTCGCATATGCAAATGACACAGCTCTTATGGCAAACTCCAAATCAGACATGGAAAGTATAATAGAAATTGCAGAATCCTTCTTCAGTATAAACAACATTGAAATTAATAGGAAAAAAACTGAGCTATTAGTAATAAACCCAAAAAACAAGTCAAAAGAAAAGTCAATAGCTATAAAGAAGGGTAAGGAGAAAATAGTAGCAAAAAAGAAAAAAGAAGTAGTACGATACTTGGGGTCTGGCTCACATCCACAAAACCTAAACAAATAATTATAAAAAAACTCGGTTAGGGAATCAAACAAATGGCCAACCTGCTACTTAAAAAAAGAATCTCAATAGAATATGTAAAATATATAAACAATATGGTAGTTCTTTTACGAGCTGAATACAAACTTAATACAATAATGCTTACCAAAAGAGAATATGAAAAACTACACCAGCCAATTCTATGTGTAGCTAAATGGAAAGCAGAAATGTCTTCAACGGCATCCAATTTTATTCTGACACAAAGAGATATATGGAAAATTAATTCTCTATAGCAATGTCACACAAAGTACATAATTTCAGAATGGGTAATTAGAATAAATAATTCGGATTTGGTAGGTGATCTTACCAGAATGCGGTTGTGTAGAAAAGTTATAAAAAAGGAGCCTTTTGCCCCTTCTGCTCAAGTTAGAGTTCTCTACCCTCTCATAGAATCTAGTTTTACCTAACTACCCTTATTACCCTTCTTACATTTATATAATGTAATATCCTCTCTTTAGGTTATTCCTATAGTAAAGGATATTATCATGAACCTGTTTATTAATAAATATTATCATCTTTATAAACTGTTATTATCTTGAACCATTTGCCTCCTGCTGTGAAATAAAAGAATACACTTTATGTCCACCTTGTGTATATTTATAAAGTATATCACTATACTGGGTGCCTTGTTACTTTGCTATAACAATATCAAGAAGGCTATAGCATTATAACATTACTGATTTATTATCTTTTTTTTTGGAGTTTAAATTTTAACAATGGTCTTTTTATTCTAAAAAAAAAAAAATAAAAGTAAAAAGTTTAAATTGATGACATAGATATAGAATATAATTATTGCACAGTTATAAAAAATATGCATATGGATATTTAATAATGGCAGATGATTGGCTTAGACCATACTGCTTCGTGGTATGTTCTGTGCCAATCACCTGCTGTCATTAAATACCCACATGCATATTTTTTATAAACTACATCAGCAAATTTAATAGGGCGTAATATTGCGCAATAATTTACGAAGCGTAAGAAAACCGTAATATTACATAAT